AGACAATTGTGTGCACTCCGATACGGGCGGCACCTTCCAGCATTGGTATTATTGGTATTGGCGTTGTGAACTGGAATATCGGTTGTTGAAATGACTGACAGTGGGTGGGCGGCCAGGGTTTAGTTCCCGGCTCGGGAGGTACTGCACTCGGACGTGTGGTTTGCCCAAATAATCCTGTGAATATTTCTGACAATGGCCTGTTATTAATTATAAAATTGTTATGTCAGTAATGTATTTTAGCGTCCTGTTGCACTGATTCGTATCCATAATGTGTATATATTAAGCGTCTTTTAGTGCATACAATTTCACTTGTCACTTCACACTACATGTTTCGGCATCATTCTGCCATCCTCAGGTGTATCAATCATGTTAAACCATTGCACTGCCTGCCATCAAGTGTCCATTTATAAAATGATATAAAATGTGTGTTCGTCGTTGTTCAATAATAAAATGTATATATTAAAACTTGTTAAGATCTATCATCTTACATTATTTCATTTCGATAGTCCTTCCTTCAAAGCAATTCTAATGGTTCCCTTACTCCGGCTCAACCCACGAAAGTCGGAGTACTGAGTCGGTTACTTCCAGTTGCAGAATAAAAAAATCGAAATGAAATGATGTAAGATGATAGATCCTAAGAAGTTTTAATATATTGTCACGTATTGGGCGTATAACGCGACAAATAAATTCATGCCATACTTTGGTATAGCGAGTTTATTGCGTTCGATCACGCTTTACAGACATTTACAATCATCTGCACTTGCAGTGTTACAATCACTGCTTACAATAATTCGGCGAGGCTGACTCCTTAGACGGATATTCCGAACTGACTTCTTAGACGGGCGATCCGAGACTCTCTTCTTCGAGGCCTGTTCCGAGACTCAAGGCTTCGTGCCGAAGCTGGGCTATTTATAACCTTGCCCGCTGTTAGGCAACGAACCCTTTGTTATAGCAGTGGAAACGTTGCTTTGTTGGCTCCGCGTTTCCTACGCAATAACCCATTGTTATCGCGTTGTCTCTGTGGGAACGCTTCGCGTATTCTCGTAACCGTGGAGATTCGATGTTCTCGGTACAACGGCTCACTGTTGGGGTTACAGTGCCGCTATTGTTGCTTCCTATGTAACGGTCCATTCTAGCGTTTCCATAGAAGTTACTCCTCTGGTTTGCCGACACGTTACAATATAAATTTTATTATTGAACAACAACAAACATACATTGTATGTCATTTTATAAATGGACACTTGATGGCAGGCAGTGCAATGGTTTAACGTGATTGATACACCTGAGGATGGCAGAATGATGCCGAAACATGTAGTGTGAAGCGACAAGTGAAATTGTATGCACTAAAAGTCGGTAAATATATACACATTATGCATTTTTATGTCCAATCTTAACCCTTATTTTAATTAAATTTAAAATTATAAGAAGTTTCGGAAGTTGGATTTGCTTCCTACATCAGATATAAAAATGGACATAATTATTTTTACTTGAGCCTCTTACAGCCAACCCAACTGAACAGGGTGCGTTCCCTCTTTATACCTGATGTAAGCAGATCCAGCTTTCAAAACGTCTTATAATGTTAAATTTAACCCAGAAAATGAAAAAGGGAAAACTCAATATTGTAATCGGTTTGCCTTAGTTGCATTCTCTCGCCTGTTATTGTGACGTCGCTTTGTGGCCTTGTTGCTTCCCCACGGTCCACACCTGCGTCTCTCGAATCTTAAGGTCGCCAAGGAATTAGGATATCCAGGGTTTAGGATTTCTAATTGGAGTTTAGGAACGGAGATGAATTTGCTAGCATCGCCGGAGAGCGTATACGGGTCGAACTTCATGCGGGAAAAGGAACAGGGTGGGTGAGATCTAAAATCTCGTGACGATGGTGTATTAATAAAATGATTGAATTTTGGTGCATTATTTGTCGTTTTGTTCTTATTTAAAACAATGTTTGCGATTGTCTCCCCATATTTAGGTAAAAGTCTTTTTCAGTTGAGCCCAGTTCGTATTTCCTAACCACAAGCAAAATAAGCTAGGATATGTGAATGAGCTGGGTAGGCAGACTTCGTGTAGTGTCGGGCTATCTGGAAAGTTCCATTTTTGAGTTCCGAATCCACACATGAAATATAAATTCCTCTCACTTGGTTACTTTATTCCCTAAGGCAATCACCACCTCACTATGACAGTTGTCACGCCACACTGACTCGTTGTGCCACTTTCCCTCATTTCCCTTACTAATTTGGCATCTAGGCCTGTCGCTAGGCAAACGACCGCAAATAACCAACTATACCAACTATACAACAACCGTAACTACGCAACGGCTTTGCAAACAGACGCGAACGCAAAATTGCACTGCAACAGAGGAACGGCGTTTTCTACGCAGTCCGTGCAGAGATGTTATAAGTAGGGCAAGTTAGTGACAGTAACTTTCATATAAGAAAAAAGAAAAAAATCTGGTCATGAGCCCCAGCCGGGGTTCGACACCAAGATAGGCAGACTGACGGAATGTCAGTCGCAGTGTGACTTTGACTTTGAGCCTGTACTGACAGGGGACTTGTGTGTAAAGCAAAAGGAAGAGTTTTCGATAACATGTTATATGTGCGAAATGTACACTTGACGAAAGGTCGAGTGTATTCATAAGAGACAGACCCATCTTCTCGTCAGAGAGGATGTTACATAAGGACTATTACCGCAAGAGTTCAGTTGGAAACAAAAAAATCTCTGGTCATGGTCCTCAAGGGGCCTGATGCCAAGACGAACTGATGGGCGATAAACCGCCAATCGTAAAGTAACTCTGACTCTGGAGGCGGGGTCGAATACCTCTACTGTGACCCTGCGAGTCGTAGGAATCAACGAAAAGGGAAGTCTCAAATCTGAGACAGTAAAATATGGTCGCGAGTCCCAAGGGACTTGGACCCGAGAAAGACTGCGCTGGCAAGGGCCAGTAGCATATACAAAACACAGACCCGTCCTCTCGTCAGAGAGGGCGCCACACAAAAACAAGACCGTAACTGTCAAGCAGCAATAAATATCTGGTCATGAGCTTCAGATGGTGCTCGACACCAAGACTTACTGACTGGCTGACCGTCAGTCGTAATGTGACTTTGACTTTGACTTTTACTCTGGACTGGCAGAGGACTTGTGTGTAATGCTAAAAGGAAGAATTTTCACTAATATGCTGTATATGCTATATATACACTTGACAAAGGCGAAGCATATTCATAGGAGACGAGCCCATCCTCTCGTCAGAGAGGATATAACGTAAAGACTATTACCGCAAGGGTTCAGTTGCAAAAAACGTCTGGTCGTGCTTAGCGTCAAAACGAACTGATTGGCGGTAAGCCGCCAGTCGTAAAGTAACTCTGACTCTAGCTGGTTGTCAGTAGTAAGTTAGTGAGAGGACTGCTTGTGTTCAATCGTTGTGAATTGTTGCTGTTAGAAGCTGGTAGCTGAAGCCGAGGATAATTCGGGAACCCAGAGGATGTGGAGCATCCTCCGTTGGAAGCCGCCACCAAGCAACGACTTGTGGAGAGTGTAGCAGACTGAGAACACTAGTCTGTGTTCCACAGTGATTTGTAAAATGTAGTAACGGGTTGTATAATTGTGCAGTATATCCGATTTCCGATTCAAACCCCGTCTGTTGTCACTCCATCATGTGACAGCACTAGTACAAGACTTGGGACATTTGCTTATTTTGTCGGCATTTATTTCTGGATAGGAAGCTTGATACAGTTTTAACTCAGTTTTTCTTTTGTTTCGTGGTAAGCCTGATTATGATTTTATCCGACAAAGTAACGCCTCCAGCGTACCCTTTCGGGTAGTATGTCATTGTACAGTCTCTTTTTAATTGTCTTCGCACATATTCATGTTGCCATAGGAACGTACACATTTAAATTTAATAATCAAGTCGCCGTAACCTTCTCGCGTAGTTCTCCCACAACTTTTGTTCTTGATCTTCACGTCATGCAGGCTTGCAACCTGTTGCGGACTCCTGTTCCCTCTGGGATTTAATCGAATCAGCATCTTGACTCATCATCTACGCAGCATGTACGAAATGTGTTATGTAACAAATTAAGCGGGGTAAAGTGAGTGACAATAGTCTGAGAGGCAAAGGCTGGAGTTCCGCAGGAACGGGGATTACTCTGTTGGGTTTGATATACTCACAACGGTGGCTATGAAGACTGCTACTTTCTGGGAATTTGGTCCCAGAAGGTAATGCTCTTCGTCAAAAATATTCCAGAAGACAGTATTATCCGGGGATTATATACCAGAGTATAATACTCTTCGGGAATTATATTCTCAAAAAATAATAATAGCACTGAAAGTCAGCCGACGTTTCGGAGGAACATATCGCCTCTACAGGGTTGAAGAATATGCCGAACAAGGTACCAGAGTGGAGGCTCTGCTCGTCTCCTACTTTCACGTTTGTATCTTTCTTGGCTTATTCTTCGACCCTGAAGATGGTGATGATATGTTCCTTCGAAATATCTGTTGACTTTCAACGAAACACGCGGCGTTGTAATCCAGAATATCATGAATTATCAATTTTGTCGCTACGTCCAGACCACAGATTCCAAGTTTTTATATTGAATATGGAAGTATTTTCGGATACTTAAGGCACTATTCTTATATATAATGGCTGGAAGTGTTTTTATGAGATTTCAGATTCTTACAGCAGTGGCTGTGAATCTGGAATCTGTTGTCCTCAACCGAAGAGAAGGCGAGACAAGAAGTAGATGGAACTAATGGACCTTGTCCATTCTGCTGTTCATTTACGGACGCACGTTGCTACATTGCAGCAACAGCAACGGCAAGAGTTGTTAGAAAATATTTTCATTTTACACAGTAGAAGTCGGTGTGCCTTAGTAATTTACTCGCCGTCACTTTGTTGCAGGATAGTACACATATGTCTATCCAGCGAACAACAACGAGTATTTCCTGGGTGCTAAATATGTATTGCCACGCATGATGCATAGACACAGGAAGTTTCCTTAACATAGCCTCAGTCTGGGCCGCCCAGGAGTGGACTCCCACGTTCGGCACGAGGGTGAGGGGATGGTGTTGCAGATCCAGTTTCTCTTAAATGAGGGCGCCCTAATCACCGCCACGTCCGACGACAGCCTGCATCTGTGGAACTTCCGGCAGAAGAAACCAGAAGTAGTACACAGCCTCAAGTTTCAAAGAGAGAGGTAAGGTAACACGTTCAGTTCTCATGAGATATATCGCCGTGAAAGTTCTTTTTCCTTTCTCAGAGTCTTTTATGAATGTCAGTCAGTGTCTTGCCATTTCTTGGTATTTTACTCTGCATCTGCATCTGAATTTGATGTTTGTCATGGAAACATAACGACCGCCATTGTCTTGCCGGACAACGGCTTTGCTAGTTCGGTAAGCAAATAGTAGCGTATTAAGGCATGTGTAACTTATCTCTTACAATTTGTCCTGACATGGCAGCGCAAATGTCATTGATAGAGATTATTGGTTCCAGAGACAGGAATGAGATAAAAGATACGCAGCAAATGTTGGACGGGAGAGCACTGAAAGTGGCCCAGAACACAGTTTCAATTATAACAGTACACGATCTAATATTGACTGACTGCTAAATTGCTGCTGGACCTCGCCAGCACTGATTCTTTGTTCCGAGTCCCACGGGACTCATGACCGTATTGTCACGTGTTAGAGTGACTCGACGGATTTTGGATTGGAGACTGGATTTATCGACCACTTTAACACACGACTCGTGACTACGCTTAACTATAACAGTCCCACTGAATTACACACTCCAAATATCACTGTAACTACAGCACACATAAAGTCTTCTCAGTCTTCGTTAGTCATTTCCTGGTAATGGATTTTAATACTGTCCGCTCACGACCATGCCGTCTGGCTCATATTTCACAACTGAACTAACTGCACCGAATCAGTCTTCTCTCAAAGACTCTCTTACAATTCTCTCAGTGCTTCAAGTGACTAACTCCCAGGCTGGCGGCCGTTTTCCACCAACCTCCTACTCTTCTCTTCACTGCCTGGCTTTCAACTGTCTGTGGTGCAAATCTCTCACAACCGAACTAAGCCCTAAACTTCGTCCCGCTTATAACCCCTCGGCACGGACACAGAAAACAGTTCTTCTGTTCCGTGCGTGTCTTTTGGGGTTCCCACGTGATTGCTACTCAGCTAGTCGATTGGCGCGCTGGCTGCTGCCTAGCAACAGCTGTTGTCTCGTTGTTCGTTTCGCGGGTCTGTACGCCACAATATTTTATTATTTATGCCTCTGGGAGCCTTCAGTATAATTCATGATCTAATATTGAACTCTCTTTTCTTTGCTGTTGCTCGCGACGGACTGCGGGAAATCAATCTGTTTCTGAGACGTTGTAATTTCCTAATCTGGTTTCACAGACTTGCTAAAAAGAACTTTCTGAATTTGGAAAACACTAAATGCTTGCTGAATATGAAGACGGAGATTATCGCCAGGTTGCCCCCCTTGTAGCTCTGCTGTTGACTAATTTTACGTGATGCAAAATTATGTCAAACTTGTTACGTCCTGCAGAAATCTCTCATTTTTATAATTTTATACAAACAAACAAGTATGACGTTATCGACATCCAGTCGGCAACGTCCCCCTCGAACAACCACATCACCACCTGCCTATCACAGGCAGGCTAAAAGAGTGAGGTCCATTGCAAATAATGCGTGAAGTGCTGAAGTCAGGTTAAAATGATGCGTTTGACTTTGAGTGAATGACAAAATAGAATTCATTGACGGTTATAATGAAGTCTCCGTTCATTAAGAACTCGTTGCGTGAAACATTAAGAGCAGTTTTTATTGAGTGTGTGTAATATTGTCACGTTTTCTATGGATGTGACTATAGACGGGGTATGAATTAGATATGGGATTTATTGACATCAATTATACACACAGCTCGGAATTACAAGTACTTACAGTGTCACCGCTAGTCTCCATACTTTACAGTTAATTGAATCACCCGGTGAGCCTTTTCCAGCCAGCTATGTCTTAACCAGCCGTTCCCTGGGAACGACTTCTAACAGTGGAGATTCTTCAGCTACTCGCACTCATCCTCTTGTCACAGCCGCCTGTGCAGATCTTGTGAATTCCCTGTCAACTCACAACTGTCAACCCTCAATTCTTAGTTATCTCAGATACCTTCCACTGCCGGTTCTCATCTCACTCAGTGCCATCTCAGTTATTCCCTGAGCCTGGGGTCGTCTTTATATAGCCTCTGGGCGAACCCAACAGAAAGCTCCGTTTCCTAATAGTTCCCTATTGTTGCTTGAGCATTCGTTGCCGCCGGAACATGTTTACCGAACCGGTGCCTAGCAATGGACGTATCTGGCTCCACTTTTCCAGCCTTCAGGCATCATGTCACAATATTTTTGGGTATCCACACGTTTCTGTTATGTAGGGGTAAGGATTAGTTTTGTGGGGCATGAGGTTCTCACTGCGGTAACTGCAGAACGCACTATCTTCTGGGATAGAGCGCCAACGTTTCGGAGGGACATCGTGAAACTTCTACCGGAATTCATAACATCACATTTTGGAAGACAAAATTCGTCCTAATTATTTATTTTAGTAATGACCGCGACGAGCGTTATTCCTGAAGGAGTCGTAGTCACCATGTAGCAAAATTTTCCGAAACATATTGTCATCAGTTGTCACGTGTATCAGTGCCTGTAGACGGGATTTCTATTGGTATTTGGATTTATTGAACTCTTACGAAACGTAACTACAAGTACTATAGCGCTATCGCTAATTCACACACTACGACTCACTACAGCACACACTAAGACTCCTTAGTCTTCAGCATGTTCACCGGTTGTCGCCTGGTAACAGCTTTCTACGCCGTAGCTTCCTCAGCTTCTGTGTTCACGCCCTTACTGGCCGGCAGCTGTCTCACAACTGACTAAACTCTAGACTTGTCCTGCTCGTAACATCTCGGCACGGATCGCGCAGAAGACACCTCTTCCGACAGTTCTTCTGTTGATGCGTTACGTAGCTGTCGTGCGGACCGCGTAGAGAACACCGCTTTCCAGTTATTTCATTGATGCGTGTTACATATATGTTGCGGCCGTTGTTTACAGAGTAATTACTTAGCATCAAGTGTGTTTCCAGTATTATGTCGACCCCCTGTATATTTCGTGTGAACATGTTCCGAACGCCACATGGTTGAGGTTGCAGACTGAACATTTTCATGGTTTTTGTCAAACGGGGTTTATGATAAGCATTTTGTTCTTCACCGTGTGCCTCTCGGTCTCATGCTGAGAAGGTGGTGCTGTGATAGTGCATATGCGGGAGATGCTTTGTTCGAATCTCGTTCGTGACACCGGCTGTCCTAACTGCAGTTTTTCGCGGTTTTTATCAGCCCCTCTAGGAAAATTCGGGGATAGTACCAGGATTAGGCGACACCCGCTTCCTTCCAAATATCTTCCAATTCATTAGTTATCCTATCGTTGACGCTATGTGGTCGAACAGCTGACAGCGTTGTAAAATAATTAATATAGAAAGAAGGAAAGAAAGAAAATGAATTTCCGCATTGAATATAAAATTCCACCGCACATTTCCGGTAGGAGTTTCTCACGGCGGTGATTATTACAGTCATTATGCTCTGGGATGTGACATCGTGTTGTCTGGTGGGCAGGTTCTAACTTTTCAGACGAACCTGCTTCGTCCATCTTCATGTTAAACAATTACGAAGATGGAGGCAACGGGTGCACCCAGAACGTCCGATCTCTCTGCCAGACCACGTATCTCACATCCAAGAACACGATATCTTAATTTTATGTGCGACAGGGAGGTAAGCAAATAACATTTGGGGGGTTGGGGCTCGTTTTCAGCATTAGTTGTTGAAGAGACGCGGATGTAATCAGTCATTTCAAGGCTTAACAGAGAAATTGTTGCCCTTTTGATGGAGATGTTACCTGCGCATGCGTAACAGTATCCCGCAGTAGACGAAATATGCAAATCTGCATAGGCCTAATGTATTCGTCAGAATTCCTAAAGGCCGCGTACTGTAATGCAGCAGCTCAGAGAACTATTTTTCTCTCAGATGAGCCTTTAAATTCGCTTGAAGGTTCATTTAGCAGATACAAGTTTTGAAGGGGTAAGGACACTATCCCTTTCCAGACTTCATATCCATTGCTTCATGTTCTTGGATGTCGTGGTCAAGAGTAAGCATTCCTCCCCCCCCCTTGGCACTACAGCCCCAGTGGGCCTAGGCCTACCTCCATGAACTTCTCCGTTCACTTCGGTTTTTCTAGATCGTACACATTCGGTAGGACTCCTTGGGCGGGTGATCAGCTCGTCGCAAGGCCTCTACCTGTACACAAACACAGAAAAACGTACACACACAAACTAAACATCCGTGCCCTGAGTGGGATTCGAACCCATGATTCTGGTTTCCAAGCGAGCGAAGACAGTATGCCGAGTAAGCACTCCTATGTCGTATTATTTAGGTCCTGGGTTCAAATATCGGCCCTAAGACCTGATATTCTGACCATGGTTTTTTGTGGTTTCTCTCAGTCCGTGAAGAAGAGTTTCAGAATGACCGCACCCTTCCACTTCATTATTCACTAATCACATTCGACACATTTTTGCCTGAACTGCTTCATCTATGTTAACTTCGTTTGGTAGCTGACTTACGTTAAGAGGCGCTAGTCATCGCGGTCTTCACGCCCAATATTTTTCCAGCATCTTCTTACGTCTTCTTCCTCGTCTTCTTGTCACTTCTTACTGATGATGATGATGATGTTGCTAGGCAACTCGAAGCCAGCATAGGTAATGGTGATGTTGCCCCTTTGCGTAACTAATGAAGCATTACGCCACGAAGACCTATGGAGGAGTGGATGTATAGATGCACGATTTCTTGACCTCTGCACTAGTTGTATGTGAGGGTTCAGCTACACGTCCCGGCCGCTTTACCCCGGGGAAAGAGCCCCCTGTACCCATTTGACAGGAGGCTTTGTGGGCCCCAGAGTTGGTCTGGAGAACATAGAGAAGAGAAAATTCTAGACCCTACCGGGATTCGAACTCCGACCCCTCGGCCGTCCAACCCTTAGCCAGTCGCTATATATACTGCCCCATCCCGGCTCCAAACATGAGTTACTTGAGATAATTAAAAGTAAAATACCCATCCGCCAGTTCTTACTGCCTATCATATTGATATTAACTGTATGTAGAC